ACGAAGACCGCAATCAAGCAGCGTAGAGAACGATTCCATTCAAGCGAACTCGATACCCCTTGGCATTATCGAAGAGCTTGAGAGTTTTTAAGTTGAGGGTATTTGAAAGGTTTAATTTAATTTGTCAACCCTGTTATATTCAATGTCTAACGTGTAAGAATAATCATGAATATTTAACTAGAAGAGACACATTTATAATTATTTTTAGAAGTTGTTTCCCTGCTAACTGAATCATTAATGAAGCGGATAGAAAAATAGCCCAGGTGTAGACGCCGAAGTGGGAAAATAAATGGTTAGTGGTTAATATTTAATACGAATATCTGAATTAAAATAAATTTTAAAACTCTACGTAAAGAGCATTGAACAATGAATATTTATTACAAAAGCACAGGTGGCGGTCCTGGGAGCAGCATTACCAATAGACAATAAAACACAGACCAAAAATCGGGCTTTTAAATAACAGAAGCTCCTCAGACCAAACTCGAACAATACAACGCTGTTGGCATTAATTCGAGTGCGAACAAATGAATTCCAATAAAACACTGCCCTCACACACACACTCCCTCCCGCCCTCTCCACATGAGACCCTTTATAATGACGATGCTTGATGGCAATTGGCGCGGGCGGGCCCAGTCCTCGATTCGTTAGCGGACGGACGCGGAGTCTAGTCTTTTGTGTCTGCGATTGCCGTTGTTATGGTTTTTAATTTTTTGAAATATTTGTACAATTTCCCGCAGCTTTGAGCTATCGACAGATTCCAAAAAATAAAAGAATAAACCGGAACAGACCAGGCCCCCGACCGACAACTCAAATAAAGAAATTGCCATATCCCCCATGCCAGGGTCCAATCAAAAAATTTGCATTTCCATAATGCTCCATCGCATTGGCATTCACGCCTCTCTCTTTAGCTTTGGCTCGCCATGACAATCTATTCTTAACTTTTGTTCTGCATCCGGCTTAAAATTATCCCACATATGCAAAGAGCTGAAGGGTGGGTCCCTGATTCCCGCATATTCTTTTGGCCTATGCATCCATGTGGCTGTAAGTAAATTGGAATTGCCTCAAGCCTCTCCCTTTAAGTGCACTTTGGTGTTTCATGAGCACACTTTGCCCAAATATATACATACATATTCTGAAAATTGCTGCCTTGTGTGTAGTAAGCATTTATTTTAGTTACTTTCTTCAAACAAGATTTTGAGGCTCATAGGTCGCTGATGTCTTGAGGAAGCTCTATCTTATGAGAGTAGTTTGAAAGATTTGCTGCTCGAATTTAAAATTTCTTTGGATCATAAACATTTTAACAATTCACTTTATTTACTGCAAGACAATGAAGCATAGAAAATAGAATTCAGACACCGAAAGGACTATCTTCCAGACATCTGAGACAGGATACCCATACCCCCCTGCTCATGTTTGCCCACTGCACTCACAAAATAGTTTTGTGCCAGGAAACTTTCATGCAACCACAGACACGTGTCATTTCAAGGAACCCCTAGACGAGGGGACATAAAGGACTAAACATGAATGCATTATGTCTTGGATGTTGTTGGTTCTGGCACCCAGTACTGTGTATATGTGCCACCCACTTCTACAGGATAAGATAAAACAAGAAATACATATGTACGGCTGTCTTTTATGAGTAAATATGTACGATGCGTAAGGTACTAGATAATGACCAACAGTCTGTACAGTTTATAGATTACCAACTAATCACACACTGCGTACATGGACATATCAATTAAAATTTCAAGTTCCAAGCCAAAATGAAGTTGTGACAAATTATACGCCGTAAAATGTGGGATAATTGTTTGCCTATTATCCAAATTAGAAGGAACACTTGAACAAGTGTCAACAGCTAGACAAAAACAAGAGCCCACAAATCACACGGCAACATTTTGCAATTTTAATTAAAACTAAACGAATTAGAGCACAAAAACAACTCCACCCACTCCCAAACTATTCCTCCCACACAGGTCGTTCTAGGGGACACATGAGCAATGTCGTACGACGTTTCCCCCCACACTGTGTCTGTGTCAGTGTCACCATGTGACCTCATTCGCATGTTGGTCAGAATTCTCAATTAGTTGGTCGCTGGTCCGTCTTTTTTTTATACCCGTACTCAAAAAAGAGTTAAGGGGTATATTAGATTTGTGGTAAAAGTGGATGTGTGTAACGCAGAGAAGGAAACGTTTCCGACCCCATAAAGTATATATATTCTTGATCAGTATCAATAGCCGAGTCGATAGAGCCATGTCTGTCTGTCCGTCTGTCCGTCTGGTTTGACGCCTGGATCTCAGAGACTATAAAAGCTAGAGAAAATAAATTTTGTTTCCAGGCTCATGTGATATCACACTGCTACAAGTGTATTTCAAAATTTCGCCCCGCCCCCTTCCGCCCCCACAAAGGACGAAAATCTGTGGCAGCCACAATTTTAAAGATACGATAAAACTAAAAACGCATTATCGTAGAGAATGCCCATATCTACCAGACTGCCGAATCTGAATCAGATCGGATCATAATTATAGCCAGAATGAAGAAATTCACTTTCAGCTGCTTCTTTTTTCAAATTTATTTTATGGTCGATTCAGCAAGACAAGTCGATCAGCGATCACAACAATTCAGTGAAAAGACCAATTAGTGGAACAACTCCAAACGTTTTTCCATCAACATAACGAATTGTGAACCATTGTGGACCCCAAACGTCCGAATTGGTTGCATTATTCACGACCGCATAGACCCATGGTCTTGATAACCACAGAATTGTCGTCAAAGCTGATAAGACGCCTGTAGGAGAATACGCGAGACGTTTTAATGCGACGAAGTCGCTATTGTCGTCGTGGGTGAAAATTTAGAAAACCGAGATATTGTTTTACATCGGCGTAGAAATCAACTGCAGCGTGTACCCGAAACACATCGATCATATGAAGCGTTACAATATCCTATCTTATTTTGGCAAGGGGAAGATGGGTATTATTTTTCAATGAAGATGATAAATCCAGTCACAGGTCTAGAAACTAATGAACAAAATTATTTCAATGAATTATTATTCATATAGACTGATGAATTCGGTGGATTCGGTAATATGACAATTGAGGACAATCATGTAGGTAGAACAACTATTCTACCAGCAACATGCGTCGGAAGTCCGCTATGTCGTACAGTGATATAAAAAAGGCATAGTAAAAATAACTACAATCATATTTGAATTTAAAATGCGATTTTTAAATACAAACATAGTAAAATTAAATAGAACTCACTTTGATTCAAACATAATTGTATTAAAATAGTTTTTTTAATACGGTCATATTTAATCTTAATACAAAAAAAACACTTTAAAATAAATATAATGTATCAAATTTGTAGTTTAATATGTTTCATATTTCAATTGAATTATGACTTGATTATGACTTGATTTCAAAATTTTGGTTTTAAAATCAAAAAGAAATCTTTTTATTTTAAATATTCCAAATTTAATGAAATTAAATATTTTTCGTATTTATTTAAATATGTTTATACTATTTTTTGTATGTCCCTCGAATTCCCAACTGGTTCACGCTGCTGCAGCCTTGAACACAAAGTTAAATTATCTTTGCGCAAGGGCATAATCACAATCAATGCAGTTCTACCCATGTTGTGATTATTTCTAGTTGAAAACATTAAACAATTCACAGTGTGAATTTCACACCATGAGGACTTGATGTAGTCCGCGTAGGGAAATTAATAAACATTTATTTCAAAAATGAAATATACTCAATAGAAATACGAAACATATTCAATTTAGGCATAAAATATTTTTAAATTAAATATGAAACATATTAGATTTAAATATTAAACATATTAAATTTAAATATGAAACATATGAAATATATTAAATTTAAATATTTTCATATTTATATAAAAATGTAAGTGAAAAATATTCAATTTTAATACAACCACTCTTGGATGAAAATCAATGGCATAAATATTAAAATCTAAGTTAAAATATTAAAATTTCAGGGCTTTTTTTTATCGGTGTACGTATATAAATACGTAATTTTTTGGGAACAGCGATAGAGAGAGAGAGGTTTAATAAATCGTAAGATTAAATACATACTGTTTAGAGTGAGGACGGCGCTGGCGGGGCAACAGCTCTGTGGGCATTCCAGCCACACCACTGTTAGCAATCCAGCTACGCAAGCTGTTGCCCTCGCTCTCGCTCTCACGCTTAGGAGCTTTTTTCCCCCGGTGACGCGCTCTCGAGCGCATATTCACCACGCTTGCGCTCCCGCTCCCGCCCACGCTCACGATCACGCTCCCGCTCTCGCCTCCGACAGCCCTCGGCAGCTTGAGTACCACCGATATTCAATGCGCTTCTTCACCCACAAGCAAACGGCCGGTTTTGCACGCGATACAAATACATATATATATATAAGCCCAGAACAACCCCGAAATATATACGAGAAGAAATTGGAACTGCCTAACGTCTTTAATTTGGGATTCTGAACGGTGGAACTTCGAAAGCCTCTTCGCTCAATCACATACATACTGAGTATCGGCTATAAAAGTAGAAGCGCGACACTTGTCAAACAAAAGTGAGATAAGATAACCATACAGATAAAGACAATCTTTCCAGGAAAAAAAGGCAGTATAAAAAGCTTTCACAAGCCCAGCGAACTGTTGTTCGCGCCGGCAGCAGACACTGTAGCTGCATTCCGGAGAACGTTGACGTGCTAGAGAGACGTGTAAATTATCCGTACAGTTTATATATATGTAAAACTGTTCCTTAAAGTGCAATTATGAAGTATTCGTTGCATTAATATAACATGCACTTGGTGCCGTATTAACCAATGAATTATAATTCTAAATTTTAATATAGTAAATGATATCAGAAGAAAACTAATCGTCCATGTGTATGAGTCACTCACTAGACAAGCAAAAACTTTGCCAGCGAAACAAAAAAGTTAAATAAAAATATAAAATATTAACCAATGAATTATAATTCTAAATTTTAATAGAGTAAATGATATCAGAAGAAAACTAATCGTCCATGTGTATGAGTCACTCACTAGACAAGCAAAAACTTTGCCAGCGAAACAAAAAAGTTAAATAAAAATATAAAATATCATTAAACGTCTGAATAAAAAAAAATAAAATAAATAAAAATAAACACGAATAACAAATTAAACGCCGTGACTAACTTAAAATGAGTGAAGTGAGCATTTTTGAATTGCCCACCGAGTGCTTATTTGAAATATTTAAGTACATAAAAAATAACTGCCAGAGAAAGAAACCAAATGCGGCTGTCGAAATCAAGTATGAAGACTTCATTAGTTTGGCCATTTGCTGCAAAACGTTTGACGATCTGATCCAGGAATGGAATATTGATCTATATGACAGGCTTTGGGAAAATGTGCGCTTTCCGAGGGACATAACTCACATCGACTTTGAAGATGTGAATGCCCGGTTAAAGAGAAAGTCAGCAAAAGAAAAGGAAACCTACTGGAGGGAGCTCAGCCACGCCATCAGGGACGCACATTTGACCACTGTCTCATTGCGTTGCGAATCGGAATCATTCCACAGTGATCTTTTCGAAGCATTTCACACCGTGATAGATCAACTCCAAAACAAGCCAAATCTGAAAGTTTTAGACATTGATGTGCGGGGTGAGAGCATTATACGTCTAGGTCTAGGGGTTTACATTTGTAGCACGTAACATTTCTTTATTTTCAGGCTTCACCGTAAAAGGTATGGCAGGATTTGGAAGCCTCGAGGTACTCCGTTTAAATATGCAGATGGATATTGATTTGACTGAAATCTGCCGCCTGAACAAAAACTTGCGAGCTCTGGAATACATGAATAATGAAACGGGAGGAAAAGGCACTCTTCAGCCTATGCTGGAGGCATTGGCCGCCAATCAGAGCATAGTCCTCAAAAATTTGTCCATAAACAATGTACCATTGGACCACAATGAAACGCAGGCCATGGCCCAGAGATTGGAGTGTAGATTTGCCAAAACTCAAAACGCTGAGCTCCTAGCGCAGCTACCCGAGCTCGAGGAATTGACTATTAGAAATGTGACATCATCTCCAGGATCCCTTCAGGGCCTCCTGGCTGCTCTGGCTTCGAGGGAGTCGCAGACGCTACAAAAGTTGTGTTTGAAAAGAAAGATTGATGCCGTGGAGGCAAAGGAACTGACTCGCCTGAAATCTTTGCGAACTTTGGAATGTCAGTTCGCTGATTCTCTGGACATTCTGCTTCTGTCTCAGCTCCCCGAACTCGAAAAGCTGAACCTGAATGCCAATGACAGGCTAGACCAGATATTGCCATTGGTCCTTACGGTTATAAAGTCCTGCAAAAAATTGGCTGAAATTCACATCAAGTGTAATCCAAACCACTCCGGTCATGTCGACATGAAATCGTCTGAAATCCTCATCGAAATGCTGGATGCCTTCCAAGATAAACTTAATATACGGATCAACGACAGCAATATATTCGGGAATCGTGAAAAAAATAAATTGCTCGTTGAAATGGATTTCTTTAGACAAAATAAACTCGCGATAGAATCCTTAGCCCGCGTTCAATCTGTAAACCATATGGAACTACAATACCACGAAGTTGGGGAACTGAGGGCTCTCTTTGCCGCCCTAGCGATGAGAACTAATTCCAATCTACAGAGTCTGTGCATTCCGTACAGCCCGCTGCTCGACTTTAGTGAGACTACGGAATTGGCCAAGATTACTTCGTTGACAAAATTTAAAGGCCCCATCTCCGATATACGAAGTCTCCAACACTTACTCCATTTAAGCAATTTCGAAGTTTGGAATGAATTAGAATGGAGTGGACAGGTTCGCAGGTTTGTAAACAAATCATAGGTCGATCGCAAAAGTTTAAACTGTTCTTCTATCCATCCATCTCCTAGAAACATCACGTTCGATAAGTCCACCGGGAAATTGACTATTATTAACAAAACGGACAATGAATTACCTGACGGCATTGGACTGAATCCCCTAGCTAGCCTGCAGAATTTGCGGCACGTTACTATTTCTGGAGTCTACAAAGAGGGCTTCATGCGCGATTTCTTGGGCCAGCTGGCCACCTGTCAAGGGAAGACTCTGCAGACACTGGAGATATTTCCGAACGGAGTGAACTATGCAGAGCTGATGGAAGTGATTAAACTGAAGTCTCTCCGAACACTGACCTGCGGGTTATCCCATGTTGAGGACATGGAAATAGAACAGCTGGAACAACTTCCCCATCTGGCAGTGCTCATTGTTGTTTCCCATCGAACAGGCTATTTAGGGAGCCTACTTCGGACTCTTGCCGCCAGGAAGTGCCCCGCACTAAGAAATCTGACTGTAATGGGCGAAAGTCTCACCCCCCAAGAGGTCACCAACGTATCTGCTATAAGTTCCTTGGAGCGACTCGACTGCGGGTTCTGCAGCACAAAGGGTCTCGATGTATTGTCACAGCGAAACTGCATCGAGCATCTGGGCATAACAACTAGGGAAGGTGAAGCCTCTCTGGTAGATCTACTCACTGCTGTTGCATCTTCTGGAGAATCAAAGATTCAGAATCTAACTATCGATGGTCCGGCAGTCGGTCAGGAATTAGCTACCGTACTAAGCCTTGTTCTTCGCATTCCGAGACTGAAGTCCTTGAAGCTCCGAATCAAAGATACCCAGGGCTTTGAGCGATTGGCAGAGTTTTTGCATTTAGAAGAGTTGATTCTCTCCTCTGACCCCGAAAGAGGTTCTCTAGCAGTTCTCTTCCGGGCACTGTCACTGAAGGATTCCACCAAATTAAAGAACTTGGTTATAGAGAACACATCCATTGGTCCTGAAGAGGCTCGCCACCTCGTGCAGGTGGACTCAATCACAAGCCTTAAGTTTGGCTTCAAAGACAAAGAAATCGTCCCCCTCTTGGCTAACATGACTAATCTTGAGAATCTGGAAATTACCACGGATCATGAATTTAGATATAATAATCTTGCTGGTCATCTCCTTGACATCTTTCAAGGATGTCGAAAACTAAAGACAATTAATTTGGGAATTACACCACGCTTCACCTCCCGTGACTTCCTGAAAAAGTCTTTAGACGTACTGAAATCAGTGAGGGATCCCGCAACTCAAGCTCCATTGGAACTACGAAATTATAAGGAATTCCATGACGAGGTAAGCGAAAAGTATATACCGCAGGGTAAGCATCCAACGTATAAAATTGTGCTTTCGTAGACTCAGATCTTTCAGATGACTACCGCCGATGAAACGTATTTGAATATCATTAGATGCCATTGACAGCATCATTATTGGACGTGCGCGAGGAAGAGAGTACACGTACTCGAAGAGTTAAGGGGTAAATAAGATTTGTGGTAAAAGTGGATGTATGTAACGCAGAGAAGGAAACGTTTCCGACCCCATAAAATATATATATTCTTGATCAGCATCAATAGCCGAGCCGATATAGCAATGTCTGTCTGTCCGTCCGTCCGTCCCTCTTGTTGAGCGCCTGGATCTCAGAGACTATAAGGGTAACCAAATTTGGTTTCCAAACTCATGTGATATCACACTGCTACTAGTGTATTTCAGATTTCGCCCCACCCCCTGCCGCCTCCATAAAGGACGAAAATCTGTGTGTGCAAATCTATTTGCAATGATGTTCATGGAAATTTTAAGAAACATTGGAAGAAGGAACTTCATTTCTAATTATTTAATTTTTTTCGTTCAAGGTTATTACTGAATATTAAGTTGGTATTGAAGTACCCTTAAATTTAGTTTTAAATGTAGCCTTATTTCTAGTTTTCTATTGTTAAGTTTATGGAAAACTGATTGGCCTACAAACACAACTTAGTCAAGGCACATTATTTGAAGGTTTGTTTTTCTTCCATATTCCTATGCTCTTCTGTACACATCGTCAACTGTGGTAAGTCTCAGTGAAACAGTGGCAGTGACACTGTCAGTCACTCAGAGTTGACTGTCCTGTCACTCTGCTAAGCGGTATACATAATATGTTTCTCTTTGGAAGACACATTCACCTGGGCAAACAGCCAAAAAGGATGAGATGAGCATTGTCAGCAGTGAATCAACATTTATATCTTCAAATTACGTATACGCATACGCGATGTGTGCCAGTGGAACAATGCGAACAGATACCCAGCTCTTATATTGTGTCAACTTAATTTAATTTGCCAGCAGCGCCATCTGACAATGCCAAGAGGTACAATTGTGGGTGTGCACCTGTGGACCTGTATCCATATTATCCCACTGCCAGGCTGTTCTCTTGGACTGCGACCCGAGCGATATGACGAGTATGAGTTCTGATACTGGAGGCACATGGCGCCGGCCTGCAACCTGTCAGGTGGCACTTATTAAAACGTCAATTACTCGTTCACATTTTGTTTGCCCGTCTCGAGAGTGTACTGCAGCCTCCTGTACTACTCAGCGCGTTCCCCCAAGGTTGACAATGAGAGTGCGTGTGTAAAGAGACGTTAACAGGTTTGTTAATTGCGTGCGCATAAACAGCGCTAATTGGCCGGCTGTGAGGTGTGACGATAGCTCCCTAATTGCCCCCGCATTCAACAGTTATCTCTAACCAATCTCTGGTCAGGTTTGTTTTCCCACTCAAACGGTAGCTTTTAAAGTGAAAAACTCACAACAGAACGCATTCCCTGAATACATGAGAATTGCAATCGCCGTGAGAGTGTCCTTCAGCAACGGGGAACAAATAGTAGCCCTGACAGCTGCCCACTTTTGCTGGCTATGCAAAATATTTCACCACACATACCCACACACACACATAGACAGTGGGTACGAGTAGCAATTCTAGTTCGAGGCGAAAGGACACGCATTTGAAAACGAGTTGGCAGTCTTGTTTTTTTTGCTGAACCCAACCACTTTCAAATCGAATTCAGCGACGTTTTTCGCAAAAACTCTGCCAATCGCTCAATGCCCTGGGTATCTTTGATTCGGAGCTTCAAGGACTTCAGTCTCGGAATGCGAAGAACAAGGCTTAGTACTGTAGCTAATTCCTGACCGACTGCCGGACCATCGATAGTTAGATTCTGAATCTTTGATTCTCCAGAAGATGCAACAGCAGTGAGCAGATCTACCAGAGAGGCTTCACCTTCCCTAGTTGTTATGCCCAGATGCTCGATGCAGTTTCGCTGTGACAATACATCGAGACCCTTTGTGCTGCAGAACCCGCAGTCGAGTCGCTCCAAGGAACTTATTATTTTTATTTTTTTTTTTGTTTCTCTCTTCTTTTTATTTACAATCTGTCTGTTTAAACAATAAGTAAATTGTATAATTAATATTAAATTAACAGAAATAGCAGTTTTCCAATGAGCCCTGCTATTATATATAACTTCTATTCAGTTTGTTGGATTTATCTATCGGGGAGATCGAGAATGTGGTTTCTTTTCAGTCTTCTTACTGTTAAACTATTGTCTACTAGACTTAAGGCTAAATTATTTTCGTGGTTGTGGAGTCTGTTGATGTATTTCTTACTAGTTTTATTTATTTCTTCTTTTATGGTTGGAATATTAAGATCTTTGTGTATATTTGCATTAGATACGTAAAAGGAGCATTGACAATGAGTCGCAAAGTTTTTGATTGGTAACGCTGAAGTATCTCAATATTTGAGTTGCTAGCAGTTCCCCAGAGCTGTATAGCGTAGGTCCAAACAGGCTTCAGTATGGATTTGTAGAGGCGAATTTTGTTTTCCAAAGTGGTTTCTGATTTTCGACTTATCAACCAGGACATTTTTAAAGTTTTAAGTCTGAGTTGTTGACATTTTGCTTTAATGTGGTTTTTCCATGTTAATCTGCGGTCGAGATGCAAGCCGAGATACTTCACACAGGTACTTTGTGGAATTGGTGAGCCATTGAGTGTAACAATGAAAAATGGTCTTAATGAAAAAGTTATTTGGACGGATTTCAGGGAGTTGATTCTAATTTTCCATCGAAGGAACCAGTCTTCAATTAGGCTTAGCTCACACTGCAGGAGTTCGGAAGCTTCATTTATAGATGTGCTTGTGGCTAAAACGGCTGTATCATCAGCATATGTTGCAACAGTGCAGTTATTTGTAACTGGCATGTCGGCCGTGTATAGGGTGTAGAGAATTGGTCCCAATACGCTTCCTTGTGGGACGTCTGCGTTGATGAGAAGTAGTGTTGATGTATCATTTTTTTGCTGCACGTAAAAGTATCTTTTAGTCAGATATGATTTGATTAATAAATAGTACGGACCAGGTAGCCATTTCTTTATCTTTTACAATAAACCATTGTGCCAGACTCGATCGAACGCTTGTTGAACATCAAGAAATGCAGCAGTGCAGTACTTTTTGTTTTCAAATGCAGAAACTATATCATTAATGACCCTGTGACATTGCTCAGGGGTCCCGTGACCTCTCCTGAATCCGAATTGGTATTCAGGAATGATGAAGGAACTTATAGCAGATACGTTGGTGACCTCTTGGGGGGTGAGACTTTCGCCCATTACAGTCAGATTTCTTAGTGTGGGGCACTTCCTGGCGGCAAGAGTCCGAAGTAGGCTCCCTAAATAGCCCGTTCGATGGGAAACAACAATGAGCACTGCCAGATGGGGAAGTTGTTCCAGCTGTTCTATTTCCATGTGATTAACATGGGATAACCCGCAGGCCAGTGTTCGGAGAGACTTCAGACCTCAGCTCTGCATAGTTCACTCCGTTCGGAAATATCTCCAGTGTCTGCAGAGTCTTCCCTTGACAGGTGGCCAGCTGGCCCAAGAAATCGCGCATGAAGCCCTCTTTGTAGACTCCAGAAATAGTAACGTGCCGCAAATTCTGCAGGCTAGCTAGGGGATTCAGTCCAATGCCGTCAGGTAATTCATTGTCCGTTTTGTTAATAATAGTCAATTTCCCGGTGGACTTATCGAACGTGATGTTTCTAGGAGATGGATGGATAGAAGAACAGTTTAAACTTTTGCGATCGACCTATGATTTGTTTACAAACCTGCGAACCTGTCCACTCCATTCTAATTCATTTCAAACTTCCAAATTGCTTAAATGGAGTAAGTGTTGGAGACTTCGTATATCGGAGATGGGGCCTTTAAATTTTGTCAACGAAGTAATCTTGGCCAATTCCGTAGTCTCACTAAAGTCGAGCAGCGGGCTGTACGGAATGCAGAGACTCTGTAGATTGGAATTAGTTCTCATCGCTAGGGCGGCAAAGAGAGCCCTCAGTTCCCCAACTTCGTGGTATTGTAGTTCCATATGGTTTACAGATTGAACGCGGGCTAAGGATTCTATCGCGAGTTTATTTTGTCTAAAGAAATCCATTTCAACGAGCAATTTATTTTTTTCACGATTCCCGAATATATTGCTGTCGTTGATCCGTATATTAAGTTTATCTTGGAAGGCATCCAGCATTTCGATGAGGATTTCAGACGATTTCATGTCGACATGACCGGAGTGGTTTGGATTACACTTGATGTGAATTTCAGCCAATTTTTTGCAGGACTTTATAACCGTAAGGACCAAAGGCAATATCTGGTCTAGCCTGTCATTGGCATTCAGGTTCAGCTTTTCGAGTTCGGGGAGCTGAGAGCAGAAGCAGAATGTCCAGAGAATCAGCGAACTGACATTCCAAAGTTCGCAAAGATTTCACTCGAGTCAGTTCCTTTGCCTCCACGGCATCAATCTTTCTTTTCAAACACAACTTTTGTAGCGTCTGCGACTCCCTCGAAGCCAGAGCAGCCAGGAGGCCCTGAAGGGATCCTGGAGATGATGTCACATTTCCAATAGTCAATTCCTCGAGCTCGGGTAGCTGCGCTAGGAGCTCAGCGTTTTGAGTTTTGGCAAATCTACACTCCAATCTCTGGGCCATGGCCTGCGTTTCATTGTGGTCCAATGGTACATTGTTTATGGACAAATTTTTGAGGACTATGCTCTGATTGGCGGCCAATGCCTCCAGCATAGGCTGAAGAGTGCCTTTTCCTCCCGTTTCATTATTCATGTATTCCAGAGCTCGCAAGTTTTTGTTCAGGCGGCAGATTTCAGTCAAATCAATATCCATCTGCATATTTAAACGGAGTACCTCGAGGCTTCCAAATCCTGCCATACCTTTTACGGTGAAACCTGAAAATAAAGAAATGTTACGTGCTACAAATGTAAACCCCTAGACCTCACCCCGCACATCAATGTCTAAAACTTTCAGATTTGGCTTGTTTTGGAGTTGATCTATCACGGTGTGAAATGCTTTGAAAAGATCACTGTGGAATGATTCCGATTCGCAACGCAATGAGACAGTGGTCAAATGTGCGTCCCTGATGGCGTGGCTGAGCTCCCTCCAGTAGGTTTCCTTTTCTTTTGCTGACTTTCTCTTTAACCGGGCATTCACATCTTCAAAGTCGATGTGAGTTATGTCCCTCGGA